CAGTTTTTCATGCGCCCATGGGCAACTCCTCTGTAATTTTGATATAAGATTATTTTGGGAGTGGGATTCTGTTTGTGAGGAGGGGGAGTAGAAGAGTTAAACCTTCTTGGCCATGGCAAACTCAGGCCTTCCTTAGGTTTTATGCTTATATTTGTGTGTGTGTGCCTGCATGTGCATGTCTGTGCATGCGCATATGTGTGTGTGTGCATGCGTGTGTATTTGTTAGAAGGGGCAGTAACTGACCAGTTATGACAGAAGGCAACCCCTCCTTTTGTCCAAACCCCTCCCTTGGCACTTGGTAGGTGGTGCAGGTACCTGTGGGTTTTCACACCTCTGTAGCCTCTGAGTATTTCACTGGATTACAGCAGAGTAATAATTAATGCTAATAATGAGCACTCAGTGGTGTCAAAAAAGATGAAATTCTTTTATATATGTCATTCATGTAAGAAAGCAATGACTGTTAGATCTTCCCCCAACCGCCTAATGAGGTTAATATTTTAATACTTGGGTACTTGGAGGAGTAAATAAGTACTTTTGAAATTTGCTTATTGGTAAGAGCTTATTCCCTGATATTGCCAGAGTAGATATATTGTTGCTTTATATAGCTTTAGTGATATTTCTATTGCTGTGTGAAAGTGAATCAGAGTAGCACTTTAATTTACATTTGTGATCAGGAGTATTATTTTACATAAAGATTAAAATTTGTTTTGGAACAGGAGTCAAGAATTTACTTCATTAGGTCTGAATTCACATTTTCCACCTCATTTGAAATAAAATATTTTGTAAGTTAAAACATATCTTGGCTGGGAAGTAATATTATAACAACATTTCACCAAAATTCTCAAGAAATGTTTTAAAATACAGAAGTCTTTCTGCTGGTAATATTATTCCCCCACTGACTTCATGTCAAAACCAAACGATGATGTATTTTCCTTAAGGCATTGTTTATATGGCAGGTCTTCAACCATGTATTACTAACAGTATGTACCTTATCAGACCTGATGAGATTACAGCCTGAAGAGTTATATTTGATTCATACAAGAGTGTGGACTTGAGCTTCAAAGGAATAATGAAGCCAAACTATTATAGTTCAAGTACTTTAATAAATATTAAATGATAAATAAGGCTGGTTCCACACTAGCTTCAGGGCCTGTGGATAATAAAAGAAAATCTTCAAATGGTGCCAAACAGTATTATGGCTGTCTTGCCTTTTATAATCTGTCTTTACTGCTCACCACTGTAGTTGTCAGAGCTGGGAATGATGAGGTAGGATGTATAATTTTTGTTGCTGACGGAATTAAAAGTAAAGGAGACTTTAAAAGTAATCCATCTCTTTAGCAGGATAAATACAGAAATGTGCTTTTTGGTAATACTGTAATAGGTATTTAATCACTCCTCACCTACCTACTCTCTCTGAAAGTCAAGTTGTGAACTTCATGTTAAATGTGAAACATACCAGGTGATATCCATTTTCATTATTGTTAATTTCTAGTTTTAATGGAAACTAGAATTTAGTTATATCATCGTGTTTGGGATGTCAAAACATGTTCCAGTGGGAGAGTGCAGAATGCCTATGATTCATAGAAGATCACTAAGTTATGTGATTATATGGAAGAAAAAGTAAGTGAAGCTGCTTTTCAGAGAAAGCCCATCAGTACTATTGTTATAAAGTCTACTGTGGGCTGAGCATGGTGGCTCATGCCCATAACCCCAGCACTTTGGGAGGCCGAGGCGGGTGGATCACCTGAGGTCAGGAGTTTGAGACCAGGCTGGCCAACATGGTGAAACCACATCTCTACCAAAAGTACAAAAGTTAGCTGGGCATGGTGGTAGGCGCCTGCAATCCCAGCTACTTGGGAAGCTAAAGCAGGAGAATTGCTTGAACCCGGGAGGCAGAGGTTGCAGTGAACCGAGATTGCGCCATTGCATTCCTGCCTGGTCGACAAGAGCTAAACTCTGTCTCAAAAAACAAACAAACAAACAAACAAACAAAAAACTGTGGCAGACAAATTCTAAGATGCCCTAATAATCCTTCCTCCTGTTGTTCATGCCCTTATACATTGAAATTGGGCCAGCCTAGGTTTTTTTTCCCCAACCAATTGAATATGGAAAACATGATGGGATATCACTTCTGTGATTAGGCTAAATAAGATAGTGACCTTCCCTTTTGCTTACCATACTCTTCCCTTTGGTGACTTTGATGAAACATGTTGCCATATTGGCACATGCAAGGAACTGAGGGCATCCTCCAGCCAATGGCCAGGTAGGAACTGAGACCCTCACGTCAACAAGTCTTGTAGGAACTGAGTACTGCCAGCAATTATGCCAGCTTGGAAGGAGATCCTTCCTCAGTCAAGACTTTAGATGACACCCCAGCCATGGCTGACACCTCGATTGCAGCCTGGTGAGAGACCCTAAAGCAAAGGGCTCGGTTAAGCTACGGCCAGGTTCCTGACCCACAGAAACTGTGAGATTATACATGTGTGTTGTTTTAAGCTCCTAAATTTGAGGTGTTGGACACATAGCAATAGAAAACTGATACATTAGATGTATTAGTTTGATACGGCTACCACAACAAAGTACCACAGACTAAGTGGCTTAAATAAGCAGTTGTGAAAATTTATTTTCTCACAGTTCTGGAGGCTCAGAAGTCTAAGATGAAGGTGTCAGAAGCATTGATTTCTTCTGAGACTTTGCTCCTTGCCTCGTAGATGCCTGTCTTATCCCTGTGTCTTCACAGGATCTTCTTTCTGCGCATGTCATGCACTAGTTCCCCTTTCATATATAGACACCAGTCATATTAGATTACAGGCCACAATAATGACCGCATTTCAACTCAGTCACCTCTTTAAACATTCCATCTCCAAATACAGTCACATTCTCTGGGATCTGGAGATTAGGATGGCTTCATATGAATTTTATGAGGAAACAACGGTTAAGCCCACGACGATAAACTATATAAAGTTTTATAATTATACTTATAGCAAAAACTCTGTAGAACTTACTGTCTGTAAAGATCTTTTGCTTCCTTTTTATTCTTTATTTTAATATAATTATATATTTTTCGGATGATTTATATATATAAAAAATCACATAGTTTAGCACATATATTTGCATATCCCTGTCTCCATAACAAAATTCGAATCTCTGTAAGCATATGTCTTTCATATACTTTATTATTATTATTATTATTTTTAGACAGAGCCTCCCTCTGTCACCCAGGCTAGAATGCAGCGCACGTTCTCGGCTCACTGCAACGTCCATCTCCCCGGTTCAAGTGATTCTCCTGCCTCTGCCTCCTGAGTAGCTGGGATTACAGGTGCCCACCACCACACCTGGCTAATTTTTGTATTTTTTTTGGTAGAGATAAGATTTCACCATGTTGGCCAGGCTTGTCTTGAACTCCTGGCCTCAGGCAATCCACCTGCCTCGGCCTCCCAAAGTGCGGGGATTACAGGGGTGAGCTACTGTGCCCAGCCTCTTTGCTATACTTTAGGTGTAACACTTTGCAGTATTTATGGTATTGCTGTTAGAGGCATTTTCAAAATCTACCTTTACTTTTTGTATTTGCTTGTATACTTCTAAATAAGTTGGAAGCAGCTTAAGAGTAAGGACTTGTTAAAAAGATAGGGAGTTTGAAGAATTTACATTTATTTGAAGTAGGTATAATTTTAGATAATGGTAGGTCCAGAGAATATCTGTCTTTGTATTTGGGAATCAAGATATAATGGAGATACACTGTTAGAGACTATCTAATGCTGGGCTGATTTATTAAGACACTGTGTTTTTGACACTTTGAGCTATTAATAGCACTGTACGTGTTTAAAATATTTTTTTTAATGGCCAAAAAATATCTACATTATATACAACAGTTCATTATAGCATACACCAGTGGTTCCCAAAGTGCGTCTGCAGACCCAGGGAGTGCCAAAAACTCTCTTAGGGGATCTTCAAAGTCAAAACTATTTCCAAACTAAAACCAAACATTATTTGCCTTTTATTTTAAAAAGTGTTGACATTTTTATATGTGTTGACATGTGTTGCATCATAAATGCAAAAGAAACAGAGGATGAGATTGCTGGAGGCTTTGCATTAATCAAGGCAGTGGTGTTAAACTACTGGTATTTGTATTTTAAAATAGGGATGATAATATTGCCAATATAAGAGGGTTGTTGTAAGATTTAAATCAGATATTTTGTGTATAAGTTTTCAACTAATGACCAGTATACACTGCTACCCTTATCAGCAACATGTGTTTCTACCATGTTTTTGTCTCTCACTACCATTTATTTTGTGTTGTGATGAGTGATTTTAGTTACGTTTATGTGTATACGTACTGCCACCAAAAAATCAAAGAAGAATATTAAGATAATTCTTAAAACACAAGTTTATAGTGGTTCATGTTTCTTCAAAGAAATGGTTAGGGAAACATAGATAGGTGAAGATGAGCAAGCAATTAGGGATTTTTGGAAATCTTTGATATTAGGAAGAGCATCATAAACCTAGGAAGTTGAACCAACAATTGTAAGGAAATTGGTTAACAGAGCGTATGACTGAACAGAGAACATTCTCCATTAGGGATAAACTATAATTACCTGATTTAGCACTTCTTCCATTGGCAATTCAATTTCCATATATGCATCCTCTGCTCTAAATCGGTATGTCTATATTGGGTTATTTAACTTGTTACAATAATATATACTTAATGTAAAAATGAGAAAGAATAGTATTGTTTTGTGCAATTTCTACTATTTTCCCCAAGTCTAAATTTAGCACTGTTCTATACTGCACTCTGTCAAACATCAAGTCAATGAAAAATAAAATTAGATTGTTGAACTATGTGCTATTCACTGAATTCTAAATTTGAACTATCATTGTTTCAAAATGAAATCAAAGGATAAGTAAATGCAAAGGCCTTATGTCATTTTGTTATGATGTTTATTGTGTTTTATTATTTTTTGCTTTATTTATTTTTGCCTTATTCTGTTTTTTTAAAACAGATCATCAGAAACTAGAAAGAGAAGCTAGAATCTGCCGTCTTTTGAAGCACCCTAATATTGGTGAGAACATATTTTTAATGTTTTTAAAATGTTAATTTAAAATTTTATGTTATGTACCACAATAAAGTGCTAATTTGATAATGTAGAATATTTATAACTTTTAAAAAATAGGTTCCTAACTTTCAATCTTGGTTACATTTGATTCCTCAAAGTTTTTCTGTGTTTGTTGTTTGTTTTTTGATGCAATCTTTGAAGTAGAAATGTGAAAAATTAAACTAAGTTTGTAGAAACAAAGATACTAAATTAATTAATGGTATATGTTTCCTGTTGCGCTGAAAGTTGACTGTATACCAACCAGTGGAAAACCTGAGTGTAATTTAAAGAATAAATAAATAAATTTAGGTAATCCCTGATTATATTAGCTTTATTTTAACCACATAATTTGGAGTCTGCTATGTTAATGAGTTCAATGTCCTTTTTGTAGAGTTGTATAAAATGAAAACAATAATCCTTTACCTAATTGGGAAAATAGTTGTGAAGGTAAAAATGAAGCAAGTATAACAATTTTTTGAAGTTATATATATATTTTTTCAAAAGTTTATGATTATGTATAAACACTTTAAAAAATAATATAAGGTCTCATTTGAATAGTGCTTTTATGTGTCTTTAAGAATTGCTCAGCTACTGCTGCTGAAGTATAGAAAGACAGGATTTATGTCATCACTTTAGTCAACTCAATTACATTCCATATATTCTGTTAAAAGTTTACTTTAGGCCAGGTGCGGTGACTTATGCCTATAATCCCAGCACTTTGGAGGGCTGAGGCAGAAGGATCACTTGAACCCAGGAGTTCGAGACCAGCCTGGGCAATGTGACAAGACCGTATTTCTACAAACTATTGAAAAAATTACCTGGATGTGGTAGTGTGCATGTATGGTCCAAGGTACTAGAGAGGCTGAGATGGGAGGATCGCTTGAGCCCAGGAGGTTGAGGCTGCAGTGAGCCATGCACTTCAGACAGCCTGGGTGACAGAATGAGACCTTGTCTCCAAAAACAAAAAAGTTCACCTTATAGTTACTGATTTGATTCTAGAAATAGTAAAAGGACTTCAGAATATTTATCTCTCATGAATTATAAAATAGCATAACTGTTTTCAAAATTTTTAAAAAGTGATGAATATAAGAAACAAAGAAGAAAAGCACAGGAAAGAAAAAGTAAATCCAGAAATATGTGTAAACTAGATTCTGTGATAGTAGGTTTGATTATTTTGGAAAAACGTTACTGTCCCAGCTCCCTCAATTTTATTGTTAACTTAAGTATTTCTGATCTAGAAGCAGTGAGAAAAGGGGTAATAGTGATGTAGAATTTGCAAAATCTTTCACTGAAAAGTTTACAGGTGTTTTAATTTTATGTGTAGGAGCATTCAATTTCTGTTCTTGCTTTGACGTTTTTAGTATCCTGCACTTAGTGGGTGCATCTTAGGGTCTTAAGTGAATGGCTACTATGGGTAAAAAAAATTGTAACAGTGGCAAATTCACCTATATCATTCACTCACTCAACAAGTTACATTTCTAGGTGTATAGTAGGAACAAAACGTACTGCCAGCTGACTAAAAGGAACCTTCTGGTTTGAGGAGAGAACAAAACAACTCTGACATATAAATCTACTTCTTTACAAGCATTTTTTTCTGACAAAAATTTATGGCATTTCTTGTTTGGCTGTATTGGTTTGCTAAGACTGCCAGTAACAGAGTACCACAAACTGGGTGGTTTAAGCAACAGAAATTTATTTTCTCATAGCTCTGGAAGCCAGAAATCTAAGATGAAGGTGTTGTCAGGTTTGGTTTCTTCTGAGACCTCCTTCCTAAGCAAGTAGGTGGCTGTCATCTCCCTGTGTCTTCACATGGTCTTCCCTTTGTATGATGTCTGTGTCCTCATTTCTTCTTGTAAGGACACCAGTCATATTGGATTAGGGCCCACACTGATAACCTCATTCTCACCTAATTATCCCTTTAGACACTTTATATGCAAATAATACAGTCACATTCTGAAGTATCACGGTTAGTATAACAACACAGGAATTTTGGGAGGACATCATTTGCCCATAACATTTAATTACCCAATGAACCACTATAGTTCAAAGATTACTTCTCTTGCTCAGGTTTAAGATAAAATCAAATCTTTGTTTAGTGAACTTGCAATTCTGGTGCAGAAAGTTGTTATTTGTTTGTTTTGGTTTGGTTTGGTTTGTATGAGGTCCTCCTATGAGACTCAATTTTTGTGGATAATGAAACTAGTTTCTTCCATTTCCTCTAGGATACCAAAGTCAAACATTCGAAAAACTGCCAAGGTAAAACAAGAACTGTTTTCATTCTGACACTACATACAGACTAAACTTATAAAAAGAGAAACTATGCTGGGGAAGTTCTAAACCTTTGTGACCTAGATAGCATCATCAACACCTTCTGACGCAGTGTACATCTTTTTTCGGGGCTCCATAACAGCCAAAGGTCATAATTCCTTGGTTACCTCACTGGAGGTTTTCTTCCATCTTTTAAGGTTTCAGGAGTACAAAAGGAACTGTGACAATTTTAGGTCCTTGAACCCTAGGACCCATTTCTAACCACAAGAGAGATTTCGAGTGATCCTTTATCTCAGGGTATAAGTCATGGATGGATTAAATTTATGAGACATAATCTCAAAAATTATAACACTGGCAAATTCACCTATATCATTCACTCACTCAACAAGTTACATTTCTAGGTGTATAGTAGGAACAAAACAGACCAATATCCCTGCCCTCATGGAGCTTGCATTTTTGGGGGAGACAGACAGTAAACAAAGCACTGGGTATTAGATGGTGATAACTGTTGAGGAAAAAAAGGAAGCAGAGAGGGAAATACAGGGTGTTGGAGTATTCCAATTTTAAATAGTTGGTCAGGACCATTTCATAGAGAAAGTGAAATACATTTGAATGAAAACCTAAAAGATGGGAGGAAGGAAGTCATTTGGCTCCCCGGGGCGGGGGTGGGGAGGAACATTGTAGGCAGAGGGAACAAACAGCTGTATAAGGGCCCTAAGGTCAGTAGATTCTACCAAAGCTTTTTATCTAATGAGAGAAATAGGGATGAATTCTTTTTCATTTTATCTTACCTTAACTGATGAATCTCCATGCCATGTAATCTGACAGTGTTGTGTTTATTCATGTAAAGAACGATTTTAAAACAACATCCATAACAACAGTGACTGTCATAAAATAGTAAGCAACAGCCAACAAAGGAGGAGTGTTTTAAAGACAGATGCCATCATGGACATCTGCAAATGCATTGGAGAGTAGTTGAACCCACGGTTATGAGGGGAGTACTGCAGGAAGAGATCATCTCACTAGTTAACAGCACCACATGAATCACTAGTACTCAATCATGACTGAATCAGATTACACAGGGAAAACAGCATTTGCTCTTGATTTCCCTGACATAGGTAATGTGATATGTAAGTAATATCAGACTCTTATCCTCTTCTCCCTTTTCTCTATTTTATTATTTGCTTGGTTTTAAAATCAGCTAGGCTTTAGAACTTTAAGGAAGGAAATAACTATTTTTGACAGTGTTTTCCCCTGTGAAAAGGTGCTTGTTTCATTTTTATATTTGCATGTGTCTTTCTCTTGGCACAGAATCAATAATCTTGAAAACTTGCAGCAAGTAAAAGGTTCCTCCCAAAAATACACATTTTAAACCAACTAAAAATGGCGATTCATTAAACTACTTTTTTTCATGTGTTATTTTTTATGTTTTTCTGATTTTAAAAGTAATACAGTTAGTGGAAAATTTGGAAAATACAACATTGTATAAAGAAGAAACTGGAGGGCTCAACTTTTAATATTTGATTTATTCATTTTTTCCTTTTTATAATAAATCTTATATATATGCTAATTTTCAGCATTCTGTTGTGTACATTTTCATACCCCTTTAGATATACTATGAAAATGGTCCCACCCAACAAAATTTCTTGAGTATATAACCATTGGCAAGCTTTGTTCTAGGCTATATGCACTGGTGATGAAACAGTGACTAAGAGAGACAATGCCCCTCTTTTCCCAAAGCTTTTCATCCTAGCATATAAACAAAACACCATAATAATGTCATAAGGATTAGTTCTATGCAGAGAATTGAAATAGGGTAATTTGATACCAGGGGACCGGATGGCTACTATCAAAAACACACAGAGCCAGACACCAGTTAAAGCTGATATAGATTTTATTTTATGCTATTGCAATCAGGGAAAGAACTGAACTTCATTCCAAGCACAGCAATGACAGCTGGGGATTTATAGTCAAGGAGCAGAGTGAGGGGGTCAGTGGATGGAAGATTTTTAAGAGGAGACATCAAGGATAGGGAGATTCTTGCTGAACTGGACTAACAAGATTCTTGCTAAAGGCAGGCCAAGGACTTAGACATTAAGGGTAGAGAATGAAGACCTTGATCAGATATCAAAGGTGGGAAATCACTTAGTAGGATTCTTCATTTAGACTGGCTTCTGAAGGTTAGGGACATTGCCCAAAGATGAGATCTAGTTGAAAAGAGGAACCTGCCTGATGTTTGGTTAGGGAGAGAGTCTTGGTCACACTGCTTTAGAGTGGCTTCTCAGGCAAGATGTATCATTGGAGGTCACATTTAAACTGATATCTAAATGACAAGTAGAAGCCATGATGAAAAAGAGAAAGAGTTTCAGGCACAAAGAGCCCTCTTTGTTAGGGGAAAAGTGGGGAAACCAGTAGATGGACTGCCTTGGGGGAAAGGGAGTGACTGAACAGGGTAGGTAGATACTTAACCATGTAGGGTTTCGTTAACTAGATTTGGGAGTTTGGGTTTCATTCTACATGCAATGGGAAACCAATAGTAGGGTTTTAAGCAAAAGTGTATCATAATCTGCTTTGCTGCGTCTGCTGTGTGTAAAATGGTTTCCTAGTCACTTGAGCACAAGTGGGTACATTCAAGCTATTCTCCTGCCTCAGCCTCCCGAGTAGCTGGGATTACAGTCACGTGCCACCACACCCAGCTA